GAACTGATCCTCAACCTTACTCATCATGGTAATGCAAAATAAAACAATTTTTTTTATCCACTGACTTGGTAAAATATATTTTTTAAAAAATTCAAAACCACAAATAATATTCAGTGATGGCAAGGGCATGAGGAAAGGTATCAAGAATTCTTTCCACGGAACAATTTGATAATATGATGTTTTTAAGAAACCATACCTCGGGGGGAGGGGCTGAGAGCTGGGCGGGTAGAGAAGTACAGCAATGAATGAATGGAAATCCAAATTTTCTGTAAATGTTCATTAAAATTTAAAAAAAAATTATTTAAAAAATAATTTAAAAACAAGTAAACAAACAAAAAACCAAACCCATAACTCATGTTGACGGGTCGGACTGGTTGGGTTTTTTTCCCTCATACTCATAATTTTTTTTTTTTCTTTCAGCCATTTATTTACAGTTTGTGTTCAATGCAAATCAATTCCATAACATGAGAAGTTACTATTAATCAAAGCATAAATACACAAACACCATATAATCCAAACAAATGTACAGCATTCAGATATGAAGTAAAAGGAAGTGTTTGTTCACACACACAGTAGCTTGAGATTTGTTGGATCTGGTTGCTTGCATATGGAGGTTTCTAACCATGGGGGAGGGGAATGACTTTCGTTATCAAAACTACTGTGTTCATATTAGATAACTGGAACATTTAGGCATCAGTACGTGACCATGCGAACAAAAGACATCATCAAGTGTCTATTTTAAGAAAAGTTTCTTGGCAAGAAGCTGCACTGCAATCCCAGAGGCGCACGGTTCAAATCCACCAGACAATCCCCTCCTGTACCAGTCAGATCTGATTTAACAGTACACTCAAATAATAAAATTTTTTAAAAAAAGAAAAGAAAAGTTTCTGTGCATCAAAGCAGTTGTAAAAGATTTACTTCCCAGAATCAAGTATACCTTAAAACCAGGTTCTAACAATCTATAAATATTGACTAGTAAAGTGTTTCAAATGTGACTATTCTGATCCATAAAGTTTTAAAGTTTAAAAAAAAGTTATTTACACAAAAAAGAGTATAAAAGTTTGTGGATTTAATGAAGATTAGCTTCCATTTATCACTTTCCAAATTCTTGATTTACATTATGTTTGGCTCCTTCACATGTTTGCCTTCTTCCTTTGTAAATTTTTATTTATTTTACCTTCAGACAGATGAATTTTTAAATTGTAAAAAGTATCTAACATATGCAGAAATGAAAAGCAGTCTTTTTAAATTCATTTAGGTCAATGCACTTCCTACTCTTTGGAATCAGTTTAGCTCATTGAATCTGGTATTTTGTTGACTGGGAATAGGTGATATGAAATGCCTATCATGTCTTTATAAATGTATAAGCAAAATTTACTCATTATGTTTTGATTTGGGGTACATTCCAATCGATCATTCCCTGACACAGGTAAACTTCACAAAAAGTCACATGCAATATCAAACCCAAAGTGTCAAAGAAGAGTTCTGTTCCCAAGAAAACAGTGACAGCATTATAATGGAAAACTTTCTCTAGAGCTTAACAGCACTAAATTAGTAATGCTAAAACAACACATGGAGGATTTACAGAAACATCTAGAGGTTCCTTCTAATGTACATATAAATAGTACCATGGAAGCTTTTTGTAGAACTTAATCATTTTATGGCCTTATATAGATTTAGTGAATGAAATTAAATGTGAATCCCCATTCCACACCCCATCCTTTTTTCTAGATAAAACTGTTCATTTTTTTTAAGTAGTTGTAAATGTCCAGATTTCCTAGGCTCCATTTAAGACTTGTGGACATTTTTTGTGCTTCTTCTGGTACAGGAAACTCCACCACATACTATCCTGGCATTCTTCCTCTTGTCAAGCTCTTATCATGTTCTTCAAATCAGTGAAATCAGAGATTCTTAACATTTCCTGGGTCAATAAAATAAGGTGTGGAATCAGTAGATTCAATGGAGATCTGGTTTTTCTCCTCACACTGGATTTCTAGGCGCCATCTGGATTGAGTTGAGAAGATGGGGAAGTAGAGGCGTTTCTTGGCCTGTGTCTCTTAACAGTAGAGATGTAGAAGGGAAAGCAAGACCACAAGGAGAGACTGGCTGTGCTCTGTAGGGACCTCCACTTCCATTGGTGGTGGTGTTGGGTGACTGTGTGGCAACCGAGATATGTTGTTGTTGTTATGTGCCATCGAGTCACTTGCAACTCATAGTGACCCTATGTACAAGAGCCCTAAACGCCGTTCTATCCTGTGCCAGCCTCGCCATCTCAGACACACTCATTCCCACCACTCCAGTCACAGAATTGATCCATCTCATCGAGGGTCTTCCTCTCCTGCACCGTCCCTCCATTCTCCCAAACATGATGTCCCTCTACACGGGCCAGTCCCTCCTTGCAACATGACCAAAGTATGTCAGATGAAGCTTCATAATCCTTGACTCCAAGGAGCATTCTGGCTTCACCCTCTCCAGGACAAACCTGTTTGTTTTCCTAGCAGTCCATGGTATATTCAACACTCTTCTCCAGCATCACAGCTCAAAGGCATCAATTATCTTTCTATCATACATAGTCACTGTCCAACTCTACGATGCATAGCACGTAATTGCAGACTATAGCCTGGATCAGGCGCACTTTAGTCTCCAGCCTGATGTCGTTGCTCTTCAGTACTCTTGAGAGGTCCCTCACAGCTGACTTTCCAATGCAATTCGTCTCCTAATTTCCTGGCTGCTGTTATTACTAAGAGCATTGACTGTGGAACCAAGTAAGCTAAAACTGTTAACTATCTCAATCTCTTCACTATCCATACTGATGCTGCCAATTGGCCCAGTGGTGAGAATCTTTGTTTTCTTGATGTTGAGCTTCAATCCATATTGAAAACTGCAGTTCTTGACCTTCTGCAGCAAGCGTTTCAGGTCCTCTTCAGTTTCGGCAAGCAGGGTTGTGTCATTTGCATAACATAGGTTGTTGATGATTCTTCCACCAATCCTGATGCCACATTCCTCCTCGTACAGCCCAGCGTCTTGGATGATCTGTTCTGCATACAGATTGAAAAAGTATGGAGACAAAATACATCCCTGACAACCCCTTTCTTGATTTTGAACCATGCAGTGTTTCCTTGCTCTGTTCTGATGACTGCCTCTTGGTCTAAGTACAGGTTTCGCGTTAGCACAATCAAATGTTCTGGGATTCCCATTCTTCTCAGAGTCAGCCAGAGCTTGTTGTGATCCACACAAAAGCCTTTGCATAGTCAACGCAACACAGATAGACACTCCTCTGGTATTCTCTGCTTTCTGCCAAGATCCATCTAACATTAGCTATAATATCCCTAGTACCACGACCTCTTCTAAATCCAGCCTGCACATCTGGCAGTTTTCTATTGACGTATTGTTCCAGACATTTTTGGATAATTTTCAGCAGAATCTTGCTATCAATGATATTGTTCAATAATTTCCACACTCTATTGGGTCACCTTTCTTTGGAATGGTAATAAATATCAATCTCTTCCAGTCAGTTGGCCAGCTGACTGTCCTCCAGATTTCCTGGCACAACTTAGTGAGCACATCCAGGGCATACTGGGAGGAATCACTTGATTGTATCATGGCAGTTGTATTATTTGAATAAATCTGCGTAGGGAAGAGAAGCCCCAGTCTAAGCCTGGCCACCATCGCTCCGCCAATAGTGCGGAGCTCACGCCTCTGGGTGCTGGGAGCGCCAACAATTGCAGCTAGGGCCAGGCACGGCAAGGTGGGGCTCATACTCACATTCTTGAGCTAACAATCTAATTTGGAAAATGGTCAGCTTTTAGTCTGTGTCCTTTCTCCTAATACTTTTCATTTTCTTGGCTCACTTCCCGGACAGGTGGGCTTTCATGCCCAAGCCCTCCTCTACTTCGATAAGACTCTAGGCCATGGACACTAGTGCCTGGAACAAGAAGATGGTTTTGAAACCATGGGATGCTTTGTCTACTGGATGCTTTGTCTTGGTTTCCTAAAGCTACCCAACACACACCACACAGTGGGTGGTTTTAGAAAGGGGGTGGAGAATTGGTTTATTCACAGTTCTGGATGTTAGAAGTCCAAATCAGGGTCTTTGCTTTGATTCATTCTGGAAGTTTTGAGAGAACTGTCACATCCCTCTCTCCTAGTTTCTGGTAGCTGCCAGCAGTACTTGGTGTTCCTTTGCTGATTATAAATGGGTCTGTCTCTGTTGTCATATGGTGTCTATCTTTCTCTTCTTCTTGACTCCCTTTTAATAAAACATCCCTCAGAAGAATTGGAATTGGGACCCACCCTAGACTGGCTCAGGACAAGGCAGGCTTCAGAGCTGTTGTATGCATGTTGTTATCAGTCACAGGTGACTCAACAGCACATACCAACAGCAACAAACAACTACTACTCTGGTATATCACTTAACTGATAAAGAAAAAGGAAAAAACCTCTATTAAACTAAACCACACTCACAAACAGAATTATTACTATTGTTTCTTGTCCCGGCCCACGGGATCTTTTCAACGGGGACCCTGGGAGGGAAAGAATGACAAAAAAAGGGACAAGAGACACAGAGGCACTGAAGACAAGTTGAGGTTCCAATCAAGTCTCGATTTTATTGAAAGCACTCACAGCTTATATACAGAAGCACAACGGGGCGGGGGGGGGAGTGGAAAGGAGAAGTAAGGTTACTTAGCAGGGCATTCCCAGTAAACCAAAACCTATCTTCCCAGGACATGTCCTTAGAGAATTACAAAATGGCTTCAGCTAGGTTGAACTAGCAGCCCCCAACAGTTTCTATTTATCATCAAGACAGAACCCACTCAGAGCTGACTCTCCAGCTAGCCATAGTTCTCCTGTGGAGCAGCTGGCAGATTTGAACCTTGTATCTTTGGATCGGCAGTGCAGCTCTTTACCAGAGCTCCCTATATAGACATTAGGACTTTACCATATCATTTGGGGGGGGGGAGAATACAATTTAATACCTAACAGTCTCTCTGTTCTTTTAGGAGAGTGAAGTCAGAAACACCAACAGAGCCAGCATTTGCTTCACGTTCCTGGGGCTGCTGACAATGTGCAAGATATGGATGGCACTTGGCAGAGGCTGCTTTGCCCTGGTCATGCTGCTGGCAATTGTGGACATTCTGCCTGCTGATGAGGACAGACACCTCCCTCCCCTGAGAATTCAGGGCTCATGGGGAGAGAATGACTTCACGATTCCCTCTGCTCCTCTGACAGAAAAGGGCCCATCTTTCTTGAGATGTGTGAAAGGGTGTAAGATATAATTTATTTTCTGTTGGAACTATTGCTATTGCCTTCCTCATCGGACATCTGCCATTCCTGTGTTTATAAAGTCTTGGAATCCGAGTATCAAACTAAGATTCTATCAGTTTCTCATAAATTACACATTTGGCAGAATGGATATTTAATAAACACCT